TGAGAATTCTATATTGTACCAATAATATAATATTGAATAAAGCTATTAATAATAATAATAATAATAATAATAATAATAATAATAATAATAATAATCTACAAGTTATCCAACGTCATACTCAGTGACATTTCAATAGAGCTTTTCTAATCACTTTTTATTCATAAGTGGCAACTGGGAATTAAATTCGGTCTACAACTCTTTACGTACTTAGTTTAGCCATTTAACTATGAAATAATATTTTTTCACAGGCCATTGGTTTAGAATCGACATGATTGCACAGAATTACTTTAGATTTTAATTCAAAAACACATAATGAAAGCTGTTACTATGTAGAATCAGATATGGCGCTAGAAACATCAGCTTTTAGTCGAATTAATTTAAGAGTATGTTTTATCATGATGAGATTAGAAATATATCTATATGAAAACAAGAGAGCACAGAAAGTAAAATAAATCTATAAAAAATATTCAGTTGAAATCAAGGAACAAATTCATGATTACCAAATCACATCGTTTTCACCAATGATGATACATTGGACACAATACAAACAGTAAATGTCGGTTTTAAGTGTTCTTCAGCAAATTTGCTAAAGGAAAAACAATGAAGAAAGCGATAATGATTAGGTGGTAAATTATATTTGATTGTAAACAGAGGTTGATGAACGTGGAACTTTCAAACTGATTATCTAAACTAGGAAAGTAGTTTCATGTCATATCATGCCGTGATCTGGTTGTGAAGTTTGATTTACTACCTTCAGCTAATAGTGTCCAGTTTAACTATTTATTTTATTTTAAAACATAGATATTGGTACAAGGAGGCACCAAATACATATGCGCCACACGGATCTCATTTAATATGTGTGAGGGCTGTGATACTGCCCGGGTGCCCAAATCGAGGCAGACAGTTTAACTAACTGGATCATGATCAATGTCTGGTCCTTACTAAACAATTTATTTTAAGGAATTATTCACTGTTACAGATGTTGGAGTGAGCTTGGAATTAGCTTTTCTGGTCGAAATCTGATTCAAGAACGTGTCAAAAATAATCTGCTACTTTTTGTTACCATAATGTCAGTCAGTGAGATGCAACCTGGAACTTGGTATGTGTGTACATCGGTTCAAGTTACCATACTTCATTAGTTCAGTAGCATGAAATGTCTGCCTATTAAACTTGGCAAGTGGATAAGCTATTAAAGTATTTCGGTCGAAACTAGCAAATGAGTTTAGAATAATTACTGAATGTTATTTGGAAATTAATGGGTGATTGTTGCAACGGTTATATTTTATTTATTCCAATGTAGGTATAAGTAATGTGAAACACTGTAATCAAATATAAAGCTGATGTGTTATATTTCAACTTGTTTTTGTAGAAATCTAAAATTTCATTGGAATTAAATCGGTTTCCAAATGCTGAAGACAGTGAAAGTGAGTCAATAATAGTTGCAAACGTTGTACCTCAAGTCTTTATGCATGAAATGAATCTAACCACAAATGAAAAACAATTGAATCTAGAATCTGTTACTTTAGAACAATTATTATATGGAATTAGATTTAAAGGTGGTAGTATTGGAAATATTAACGATACTTGTACTGAACAATATGATAATAGTGATAATGATCAAATAATCTCATTTGATTACCTTACTAATAATATTGTCTATGAAAGATTAAAACATTTATTTAAAGATTATACTCAAACAAATATTATGAAATGTATATTATACTCTGAATATATTAATAGTAACAATAATAATACCATTAGTCCTTCTATGATTTCATCTTCCAACATTACAACTCCGTCTATGGATCAATCAGTTATTTATAAAGATAATGATCTATACGAATTACTACAGCACGTCTATTTACCAGAGATTGATTTGTTTAAAAGTCCAAAATTAACTATAAAATTAGAACGTAAACAAATCTATTCACTTATTCAATTGAATCATATACGTCGTGAATTATTCATGTTTAATAATAATGATGATGATGAAAATGAAAAATCTCAATGGAAACAATTAAGAATGATCTATTCATCATTTATTTTATTTTAAACTTATCTAACTGATTAATTGTATATGTATATACACATAGAGATGTTTGTTTTACATCTTCTCATGTATCTACTTAGTGAATTATTACTTGAAAAATAAAAAGAAAGAAGATACTTCTCTTTATCTATTTGTTTAAGTTACCTTTTTGTAAGTAAACAAATAATCAGATGGGTTTTTTTGTGGAGATTGTAGTAGTCTCAATGGTTAAGATCATGAGTCAGTTGAAGGTAGACCACCATGGAAAACCCGAATGCACTGGATGGCCGTTTCGTCCAGTGCTTCCAGTTTTTCTATGATGGTCTAACTTCAACTGACTCATGATCTTAACCATTGAAATAATCAATAAGATCTGTTTATTTGATCTTTTTTCTCTCAATTTGTTTATACTCTTGAACTGTGACTATTTTCCGATGTGCTCTATGTTACTGAATTGAGTTTATACATCTTTAGATGATATATAATTTTCTATCTACTTATGACTTATTTCTAGTTATTCATATTCGTTTTGAATTTATTTGTGCTGTTTTCTTTTTAATACATTGTCAGTTTCTTATATATTTTTTTATACTGCTACTATAATTGTTATATCATATATATGCATGATTGAGATCAGTTTGCCTGATATTTTTGTCTTTCTTTTCATGATTATTATCTCATTTTCTTATGATCAATATGCATAGAAAACAACAATCAGATAATAACAATTTTATGGACAACGAAAATTAAGTTGTTGGTTTTTTCTACAAAAATACATTGTTTCGTATTATATTTGATTGACACCGTTTGTCCCCCAAAGCTACGTTGTCGTCAAAATTAATTCTAAGTAATATTTGAATGTCGTACATAGTTGTTTGATTGCGATTCATGGACAGACTTTGGTTTGACAGCTATTGAAAACCAACTAGCTGTTTCGTCCTATTATATGTTTAAGCATAATTATAGAATAAAGTAGGGCAAGATAATGATCTAAATGGAAACGATTTCGCTCTCGCTTGTACGTTTGTTTGAATTGTTCATACATCAATGGAATGAATTTTCAGTGTTAAATATCGATTTTTCTATCCTGAGATTTCCCCACCAGCAAGATCAATTAAAATAGTCAAGTTCCGACAATGTATAATCCTTATTTTAACTATCTGAATATATAATATTGCTGGGAATTTAATCCTCTTAAAAGATTAGTTGATTTTGTTTTAAAAACTAGGCTCAACCTTAAAAATGTTAACAGAACCAAAGCAACTAATCTCCATACTAAATTTTATGATAATGAAAATTAGGACGAACTCAAAAAAATATTTCGCCTTTTTCTCATGAGCAATAAGATTCAATACATACCATTGAACCCAACGTCACCATTTGAATTCAATAGTACTTATCCACATTATCACGGGTTTATATGGTTTTTCATAAGTATAATGATTCAACTGTGGAAAAGGTGTTCTAAAGCCTGTTGTATTTAGCACATGGTTACTGCTTAATAAAACTTCTGGTGTTACAACATTCAACCTAGATTTTCGAACCTGCAATTAATATCACAACACAAGATCCGTCGAATACACTTGGTCTAGAAGTTACCTCACCGATTGTAGACAATTTATCTTTAGTCAAGTTTTAGTCACTTGAAGTGTTTGTAAATATAACGGAGTGACATGATTTTTCTCTCCAGTTACCTCTTAATGAAAATAAATCTTTACAGCCTAGTAGCACATATTGATGTTAAGCTTAACAAGATAATGCCATTTAAAGACTATTTAGTTAACCAAACAACGGAATATCACTATCATATCGTTTCAAGCGTATAAAATCGTTAGGAATAAATATAGAGAACAAGAATTTGCATTACTTTACTGAAATTTCGAATACAAGCACCTCTTATCAAGTACAGATTTCTGCATACGATTTTAGATAACATTTACTTAGTGATGACTATTAATACTACTAGTCTGTCAAAGTGGAAATAGTAGTCAGTCAAGTTTTTGAACAATTTACAGCACTATTTCACTGACTAAAACTAACTAGAAACTAGTCAAAACAATAACCAAAAATTCATTATCAAAATATTATTGTTTATAGGGTATACAAAATATTTTATGTGAGTAAAAAACAAACCAACAAATATCAGAATAATGTTTAACAAAAAATAAATGCAAAGTGTAGTACAGGAAAAAGATGAATAGAATAGACAAACATAAAAAGATGGGAATAATTAATTAGTTTATGGGATGTTGTGTGTATTTATTACGTGGAAATATTATAAAAACGATCAGATGGGTAATATACATTCAACTGTAATTGGTCGTTAATTTTTACGGAGAAGTTCCGTTAAATGCCAATATTAACAAAACAACGTCATAATTGTTAGTTTGCTCATTTTCATGAGTATTAAGGAATTTACTTATCTGTTTTTGATGATAACGACGATATATACAAGACAGGTAGATAAATATCCTCTACATATGCTTGAAGATTACAGAGAGAAAAACAAGCAGTGTATACATGAAACACAAAGGTTATGATCACTGTTATTCATGTAAAAATTATCCATGTGTCTGATCATCTTCGACAAAATCAAGTGCTTCACCTTTAGTTACGCATTCAATATGACTAACCTAAAATGAATAACAAAACAAGAGTTATTTTATGGGGAAAATGACACAGATTGAAGAATAAATGTATCGATAAATATTATCAACAATGTCACGGTAACTCAGATTCGCATATCAAGATTTTAAAAATCTGTCTACCAAAATAACCATGAGATGAATTTTTAAACATCCTATTAGGAGTAACAATGGTAGGTGATATTCACCTATCTCAAGAGTAAGACCTGTAATGACCAATGAGAATGAATGATGGTCGGGTTAGGTCCCACAAACTAAATGAAGTTAGAAATATGGACAATTGTCACCAACTCAATGGTATAAAAGTAATGGGTCCAGTGAGATACCTGTGAGTTCTAGGTTCAACCTCGGGAGGCGTTAATAGTGTAAAGTACTGAGTAGTTACATCTGAAGATAAAACATCTATCTGGCGCTCTTTCGTTCTTAATATCTCTTCAGTTAGGATCAGTCTGTGATGTAATTCATCTTCAAATAAACGAAGTGACAAGGTCAAAATAGGTATGTCGGACAATAAATAAAATAATGGTTAGAAACTGTACACAGTTCTATACGTTGTTTTAAGCTGAGATAAGCGAAAACAAAAATTAAAAAATCATATCACAAAAAATACATTCACCACGTACTTCCTATAAATGGCTTACCAAGGTAGTACAGTCGACATTAAAACTGTACTATCAAACAGGATATTACATTTGCGTATATTTACAAAGGAAGATTTTGATATATGACAACCTTTCTTATTCTAAGTGTGCTTAGTTATTAAAATAAAAAGTATAGTTAACTGATATAAACAGTTTGTAAGTATTGCGAATTGTCATGAACCCAATATGACCCATTCATTTGGATAAGGCAAATAAACTAAGAAATTTCATGAGCTTGAGTAGTTCGCCCACTTAAATGGAAGAGGTCTTCTTATTATATACTAATTTTGTAATTTATAACAATTTGCTAGATATGAATGAGTATTTGGGAAAGGTGGAACTCTTGGAACTATTCTAGAGTTGATTAACTACACATATTTCTTATGTGTATTTATTAAATCTTTGGCTTATTATATCTTTGCAATGCTCCTATTTTAAGCTTTCATTACATTTAATAACTGTTGATAAATGTTTTACGGAAAATTATTTATGCACTTCATACTAATACTAACTCAGTTTTATATCATATATAATCTAGTTATGCGCAAGTTGTAATTCCCTATTTGCGGTAGGTTGTGGTCGTGTAATTAATTTATATAATCATATGGGTTTTTGAATCAAGGAACAACGCCAATAATATAAGGAAAATCAATATGCTATCTTCGTGTTTTAATGTTAATGGGGATAAGAGAGCTGTGTGGGTCAATAAGCGTTAAGATTACAGATCGCTGTTGGTGGCCATCTGCGCTATTGGTCCGATCGACATAAAATGAGTACCGTCATAAATCGTCTCCATAAGTCGAATGATTGTATTTAGTGGGTTATATGGACGGTTGCATTCATAACAAAATTACTAACATAACTCGACTAATAGTATATTTAAATAATTATAACTAATTGGGATTTAAAAAAAAATTAGAACTGCCTGTTACAAATAATCGACCTAATTAATTTCATCTATCTATCGAGTGAAAAATGACCATCAAAACGAATAACTAGATTAACATTGTAACACTCATTAAACACTAAATTGAAATTGAGTATAACATCAATGTTGTTATAAAATAAATAAGACTTAACAAGCTTGAATAATTTTAAAAAGAAAAAAGCAACAACAGTATTCAGTTGGTCAGTCATCTACAACGTAGGACCAGGCACATATATACATAGATCCAAGTGTTCATGACTCGTTCGCACAAAAAGATGAACATCAAATTCATAGAAGCAATTACTTCAATGATAGTACTACACTTACTTTATTACGAAATTTTACACCATAGAATTTTTCAGCTGATTCTAATAATTCAGGTCGAAATGTTGTAGTGATAAATTGTGCTTCCGATTTCAAATCTCTAATCATGTCAGCAACAGCTTTACGATATTGTGCATCTAATGCGGCATCAATTTCATCAAACAGATAAAATGGTGCTGGATCACATTTTTGAATGGCGAAGATTAAAGTTAAAGCAACTAGTGATTTTTGTCCACCAGATAATTGATTCATATCGCGCATATCAGCTGAATCACCAGTGAAACTAACACGTATACCAACTCCAATAAATCGTTCAACATCGGGAATAACACTACTATCAGCACCACCATCTTCATCACTACTACCTTCACCTTCTTGCTATTAAGGAGAAATAACGGAAAAATGTTTTAAAAAACGAAATGAATAACAGTGCATAACAGAGAAAACTTAACAACACTGATTATTTTTCAACAAACAAGCATTTAGTACTGTAAACTTAAGAGGATCTTATCTTACAGACTTTAATATAATATGATATTTATATGCAATCTAACTATATTACTTACAAATTTATTGAGTAATTTTCTCTCTTGTGGCTTTAAAAAATGAATTCCCTTTCATTGATTAATGTAGTTACTAATTGGTTCATCCATATATATTTCACTGTCTGATTGTTTCCGGTTCGTACACGACTTCGAATTCGAGTATGTTATGTAAACCAAGTCAAAAATAACTTCAATTAGACCAGTAAGTACTGGACAGCTGTTCCATCCTGGTATGATACACCTAAATAGGTCCCATCTACGACTCCACAAGACGTTAGACTCAGGATCTTAGCAAGCTGATTATGGCTTGGGATGCAAACAATTGGACCCCCAGTCAGGACCTGAAAGTCCACACTAAGCTAGGACGAGACAACCGCCTAGTGCTTAATGGTTCCCAATGATTGTCTAACCAGTCAATCCGTGATGTGAAACTTGAATTTTATTAAACAAATAACCCAGGTGATGCTGAAGATTAGAAAAACTGACTGAAGGTCAACCTATATATCATAAGTGGGAATACAGTTATCGATTCAGAAATTAGCTCGAATACTTATTATTGGTGATAAATAAAACAGTTAAGGTCACAAAGCTTAACTACACCAAAATGAGCACTTACACGGACACCTTTTTTCATTACCAATTCTGCACGACCTTCAGGTACAAGTCGTTTGAAAATATCTTGGAAATTTTTAGATACCTTTAATTGTAGAAATAAAAAGGAGCATGTGACATTAATAACTTATAGTTTGACAAAAAAACTGCTGAAAAAATTATTAACCTCATTACAAAAATATACGTTAACTACGAATACTTATTCAGTATGATCTTTTTTTTACATCACTACGATATAGTGATCCAGATATATTATTTTTACAATCATCTCTTGAAAATCAGAAATTAGGAATTTTGTAAACTCGTGTCACATATATATTGATTGATCAATCAGTAGTGGCTAATTTCATATTTGCCTAGTTCTTAGTGCTAATTGGATCCTATCGACTGATTTCCAATGTGGCCACTAGTTTAAATGAATCGACATTGTGTCCATTAAGTTAGGCGGTTGGAAATCCTATGCTAGTTGGCACCCATTTGCAAGG